AAGAACTTTAGTTTTCTGTTATTTGTGGATATCCATAATCAATCATTTCATCTAACAATTCATAAATAACAACAAAATTATCTCGTATTGTTTCTTCTGTTACAACATCAAAATATGTCTTAAGCACTTCTATTAATTTTGTCAAAAATGATACTACTAACAATGAATTAATGTTTTGATCTGTAAATGCCATAAAATATAATCCATTGTGTCTGACATACATATATGTGATGTCTTGAATTAATATTACAGGACATAAATTAATTTCTTCTTCTTCTGTTATTTTAGTTACAAATTGATTAACAGCATTCATAGGAATATCACCTCTATAATTTCTACTAATAACTGTTCTTCCTTTAGAATCAAGTATGAACAGTGCTGCAATTGACATCTCTAAATATTTTTTAAGTTCTTTTTTATTGTTTTTTATTTTTTATTAGTATTTTTTTATTAATTAAAAAATTTTACCTTCTTTCAATTTTGTTTGACTTTTTTTGTTTTATATCTATCATTTTTGTTGTTCATTAATCATGAACAGGAATAGTCGATTGTTAATTTCTCAATATTATTTTATCAGTTTGTTTATTTTATTTAATTTAATATTTTTTGTTAATATTATAAAGTTGGTTTTTATCATCATACTTATATTAAAACATAATTATAACTCCATCATTTATATGCTCTTGTTGTTTGTATGAATATTAGTTCATTTATTCATAATATCATATTCTTTATTTCTATTTTTTGCAAGTTTTTTATTTCAATATTATTTGTTAATTACTTTTTTGAATATATTATAATAGAATGTAAAAGATTATTTACATATATGTAAGTTACAATATTAATAATAACATTTTTCTTTCATATGTATTTTGCTGATAAATATCTTTTTTTTTGAAAAAATTAATCATTATCAATGAATTTATTTCTATATATAATTATTTTGTTATATTTCATAGTTAATAATAATGGGCAACTGATTCAAATCAAATTTTCTTATTTTCTGTTTAATCGTTGATATTTTATTAACCAGTTAATTGTAAATATATCTGTTTCTCCAAACGTTTAAATATAAAAATTCTAACTATTCTAAAATTATAATAACCTATCAAAAATTCATTAAATAATGTCAGCATCATATGCTTAACGATTTTTTTTATAAAAGAGTAATACATATATTTACATTTATATTTATCTGCCATTATTATATCATTGCTATGTATGTATTATTTATATATTGAGAAAATATATTATTCTTCTTATCTCGTGACTATCGATTATTTACAACATTACAAAATAAACTTTTGTTTGTTAAAATGGGATTATTTTACGACTGAATAGTTTAATTAAAAATTTTAAAGAAAACATCAAACTATCATAAAGTATATTATTGATAAATTCTAAGAATAAATTTGATGAATATAAGAAAATAAATCGAGTAAGTTTTTGATTTAAGAAGAATAAGTTCAAGACAATGTTTCAATAATTATATATTTAAAGACAGACAATAAAGCCGTTACTTTAAATTAAATTCTAAATATAGTATTGTCTAATTATTTTTAATTCAAAAAGAATGAGAAACAGAATTTAATAAGAGAAAAAGAGTTTTTTTTAAAATATCTTATTATAATATTTTTTGTTAGTTTAAATTTTGTATGGAAGGGAAGAGAAATGAATTTCCTTTTAAGCCATGACATTTCTCAGAAGTGTTTCAGTTCTAAATCATAAGTTTTCATTCCATTTTAAATACAAAAGAATATGTTCAACAAGAAAAAATATTTCATTAAATTAATACGTTTATAGCATATGTTATCAATCTTGATAAAAAAGTATCACTTCTCAATATATAAAAACATTTTCATTGATTCATTACTACGTTGATAAATATGTTCATTATTACTGAGAATAACTTCTTGACTTATTCAAATGCATTTGTTTTCAGTTATTCTTTCTAGTGTTAGTACTTGTTCAACAAATTATTATTCGAATAGTAATTCTTCAAATGTATCAGAAATTTATGAATTTTGAGACTCATATACATTTAGTCAATAATTAAATTAAAATTCTAACAGCTTTAAAATTATTAAAGATAATAGTTGAGAAAAATGTTATACTTTGTTGAAATACTTTAAACTTGATGACTGTAATAATGATAT